AACTAAAATCCATTTAGGAGGCAGGAAATGTTCCACAGTAATGAAGTTTGTGTCGTGAAGCCTGAAGACCCTGTGGATCCTCTGCTCTTGTGCAGGGCTGGATATTGGAAATAGAAATGTGCTGACAACTGTTTCCTAATAGATCTTTAAGTATGAAGAAATAGTCTCCCCTCCTGCCACACCAGCTTGTGGGGATGCTGTTTTCCTTCTGGTGTCATTCCAGCCTCTGAGCATCAGTACAATGGTGACTTATCTCCATTAATCAGAGTATGAACAACTCCTGGCACATGTGAGTCTGAGCTTCCAGGCTGCTGGATTTTCTCCTGGGCTGCCAAGGGAATGCTACCTGCCAAAGGGGCAGGTGTGGTGGTGGGAGAGGAAGGGTGATTCAGGATTACTCCATAAGCCTGCAAACCTGAAGGTCAGGCTGATCTCTGCTCTTTTTCCTTGGCTTTACCTCATTGCCCTTGTTTCCCAGCTGGGAAATGCAGCCCTTGCCCTTCCTTGTGGGAATGGATAAGCATGCAAAGAACAGATAAAAAACTTACACCATATTCTGGTGCTGGCAAGAACAGAATCTCAGGCACTTAAGAGCTTCCTTTGAAATTATGGGAAAAAACCCATCATGAACATTTGAGGTGAGGTTGACCTCCCCAGGCCTGTGAGGAAATGAGCAATCCTGTCCTGACAGAGAGCTCTGGGGCTGAATCAGGCAGGGAAGGGACTTGCACGGCAGCCCCAGCCAGCAGTGAGAGGGGGGCTCTGTGACAGCTGCACGAGTTGGGCTGTGCCCAGCAAGGGCTGGGGCTCCAGGCTCTGGGAGGATGCTCAGGGATGCTGCCACAGCTCCACTGAGCTCCTGAATCCCTCCTGGGCTGAACAAGGACATGATGGGACCTCCAAGGGTCTGTGTGGGGACACTGGGAGGGGGGTGTGCATCACTGGGGGAGCAGGGACCTGGTTCTGGGCATCACCTCAGAAGGAGAAACGTGATCAGCAGTCACCACTGAAGCAGCCATGCCCCAGCCCTGGCTGGTGTCTGCATGAAACTTCCCTTGGCTGCCCCAGCCCTGGGCCCAGATGCTTTTCCAGTAACTCCTGTGATCTTCCATTTGCAAAGCAGGAAGGGAGAGGAAGGAAGGATGTCCTGTCCTGCTGGAGTCACTGTTCAGTGTGAGGAAAGGCACTGCTGAGCTGCACTTCCCAGCCCACCTGCTCCAGGTGCCTCTGAGCTCCACAGGGGCTGACAGCAAATAGAGCAGGAGGACTCTGCAATACATAAGGTGAGAGAACCCTTTCCTTGTTCCCAGTACAGGTTCCATGCTCTGGAACAGGGCAGGGGCTGGGTGAGGTTGGAGTGGGACAGGGTGACACTGCTGTGGGATCTCTGACAGACCTGGGGCAGCAGCTCAGCAGAGGCCCTGGCTGGCTGTAGCACAGGATTTTATGTATTTATTTTCTTTTAAATTCAAGCCTTCAACATAGTTTTTATTGTTGTTGTTGTTGTTTTTTGGTAGTTTTTTTTGGTTGTTTTTTTTTTTTTTAATGATGGGAAAAAGCCCCCCAAACCCCAAAGAACATTGCCCTTCAGGTGAGGATACTGTAGCAGCTGCATTTCCTTATGATTCAGAGACACCTCTGAGAAGAAAATAATGGTCCTGGGTAAGAGTGCCTCAGCAGCTTTGGGAACCACTCAGAATTAGTTTGTGGTTCCTGGGGCTGTGTGAAACATTCATTAAAGCTCAGGGGCAGGTGCAAAGACCCATGAACAAAGGAGAAAATGAAGCTGAGTCGCTCCTTCAAGCCTGCCAGCTGGTTTATCTACCACTCCTTGTGCCTGCTCAGTTTAATCCCAAACTTACTGAAGCCTCTCCTGGTGTTCTTTTTTTGGCCAGTTGGAAGCAGCAGCAGGTAATTATGGCCCAGTGGAAAATAATCTTTCCTGGCAATTCCCTTGAGGTAAGAACACATCTGAACATTTGGTGATGTAGTCAGGGATGCACCGAGCACTTTTCAGGGAAGGCATTTCCTCATCTGGGAGGAGTCACCTAACATGGGAAGAGAAGCCCTGTTCTGGGGAAGAAAAAAGACCAAATAAAAACAAAACACACAAGACAAGGGTGTGTTCCCTTGGAAGGTTTGGCTCCATCCAGTCTAAGGACCCTCCTTACTACAGAGGAAAAGATATTTATAGTTTGGAAATCAGCACTGGGATGAAGACTTGTCTGCCTTTGCCTCTATGGGATGCAGGAATTAGCTGAAAGCAAGAGCAGGTGGAGGAGGGCTGATGAATTGAAGGCCTCCTCTCATTGAAAAGGTTGTCAGAGTCTCTTGGGAGGCAACAATGGAAGGCCAAGGAGCTCAGGAAGGCTGCATGTGCTTCTAAGGAGGAAATTTTAAAGGCACAGGAGCAGATCCCACATGCTGAAAAAAGTGCCAGCAAGGAAGGAGAGGAGCCTGGCTGAACAGGGAGCTTTGGCTGGAGCTCAGGGGGAAAAGCAGAGCATGACCTTTGGAAGAAGGGGCAGGTACCTCAGAAGGAATCCAAGGGTACCAGGCTTATGCAGGGCTAAAGCTTAACTGGAATTTAATCTGGCTACTGCTGTAAAAGCCAAAAAAGAAGTTTCTATAAATACATCAGCAACAACAGGATGGATGAGAAGGATGCAGGAGGAAGCACAGTGACAAAGGATGAGGAGAAGGCTGAGGCACTTCCTGCCCTCTTTGCCTCAGTGTAAATGGCAAGGCCAGTTGTTCTCTGGGTACACAGCTCCTGAGACAGGGATGGGGAACAGAAAGAAAGCCTCATGACCCAAGGGGAAATGGTCAGCAAGGTGCTACAGCCCTTGGATACACAGCAGTCCATGGGGCAGGTGGGATCCACCACCCCCTGCTGTTGTGGGAGCCAGTGAAGGGCTCCCCAAGCCCCCTTCCATCATCCTCTACACCACCAGTCCTGGCAAGGGCAGGATTGTAAACTGGCAAATGTGACAGCCCTCCACAAGGAGAGCTGGAAGCAAAATCCATGGAAGTACAGGCTGGTCAGTGCCTGTGCCTCAGTGCCAGGGAAGGTCACAGAGCAGAGCAGCCCCAGTGCCACACACAGCACCATGCAGGACAGCCACAGGAGCAGGCCCAGCCAGCAGGGCCTTGTCAAGGGCAGGAGCTGCCTGACCAACCTGATCCCCTTCTGTGGCTCACCTGGGGATGAGGGCAAGGCTGTGCACGTGGCTCCCTGCACTCCAGCAAAGCCTTTGCCACCATTTGCACTCTGCTGGAAAAGCTGCCAGCCCAGGGCTTGGGCTCTTGTGGCTGGGTTAAGCCTGGCTGGGCAGGCCCAGGGAGGGGTGGGGAATGCTGCTGCACCCAGCTGGCATCTGGTCACTGTGCTGTCCCCAGGGCTCAGTGCTGGGGCCAGCCCTGCTTAACATCATTACTGATGAACTGCACAGGGGGATCAAGGAGCCTGCTGGGGCCATGGAGTCGGAGTGTTCATCAGCAGGAGGGCAGGAAGGCTCTGCACAGGGAATGGGACAGGCTGGATCCATAGGGGAATGAGGTTCAACACCACCAAGTGCCAGGTCCTGCCCTTGGATGCCTCCAGGCTGGGGGATGAGTGGCTGGGAAAGTGGCCAGAGGAAAGGGAGCTGGGGGTGCCTGGGGTGGGCCCTGAGCAGTCCCAGCACTGCCTCTCTGCTCCAAGGCCCTCCCTTTGTAGCTGCTCCAGAACAATCCCACTGGAGCAGGGGCTGCTGTGCCTCAGCTGTGCTGCCCTGGCTCCCTCTCTGCAAGGACAGGAGCAGCCAGCTAAGGGAGGGTTGGGATTTTTACTTTGGTGGGTTCAGCTACACAACACTGAGCTCGTTCAGCAGAGCTGGAAGTTGCTCTCTGCTGAGGCACAAACAAGACTGAAAACCTGCCCAAGCTGCTGGGTTAAAACCATCAGCTCCCCTCAGCCTCCTGCCTCCCCTGATCCCTCTGTGGATAACACTTTCTGAAGATGTCTGTTCTAAAGGGAGAAACTAAATTCCATATATGTGTGTGTATAAAACAGGAGTCAAAACATCAAAAGCTTCTTCCCCAAGCTGCAGCCACTTGAAAGGCTGCAGGTGCTGGGGCAGCTGAGAGGCTTCACCTCCAGCACAGGTGAGGCACTGGAACCTCCTTTAAGTTTCATGACAGATCCAGCCAAGTTAAATTCTCTGCCTCTGCCTCCAGGCTGGAGCTGGACACAATTACAAAAGGGCACCTGCCCTGCCATGGCTGAGACATGAACTGAGCCCTGAGGCAGCCCTGCAGAGCTTGGAGACAAGGCTGCTGCACCTGCTGCTGCTTTTTGGCTACCACCACAACCAGCCTCAGGGATGAAAAAGTAGCTCAAGCAAATGGAAGTATTTATTTTTTCTAGAGTGATTTCTAGCCTCTCTTTTATGACACACAATGTTTGGACAAATGCTCAACAACACCTGAATACCTACATAGAAATCCTCCTTCAAAAGACAGAAAAGCAGCACACAGATGTAGAAGGGATGGGTAGGAATGTTCTCTGACAGGGAACTTTGACCTGTGCAACAAGGAAGACTTCCACACTCAGCAGGACCACACTCACTCATGGTAACAGCCTTAGAAACAAAGATGTTATTCTTCTTTCCCATATAAAATTTTCCTCTTGGAAAGGTCATTTTAATAATGCAAAACATTGTGAGAGAGGCTTTTGTCTAATTCAAACACTGTTCAGGATGAACTTCATTCTGGCAAGGACACTGATCACAGCTGCTGAAGCCCAGCAGTGAGAATATGCATCTCTTGTCAGACACAGCCTTTTTTTTTGGTCCCTCCTCCAGCACCTGCCATGACAGGGTTGGGCTCTGGCTCACACACATCCACAGTTGCAAAATGAAAGGTTATTAAATCAGTATTAGCCATTAAGAAAAAGTCACCTCCCTCCTCCAAGAAAGAGTCATGCTACTGGGTGGCAAAGAACACAATGGCACCTCCCATCAGCCATCATTTCATTGGGTTTATTCTAGTTTAATAGATGATTTATCAGATTTGTGCAAGACAGTTACCTCTAGCACAAAGGGAAAGAAAGTAAAATCACAGCAACATATACACACAAAACAAGATACACAAAATAGAGCTAAATTTATATACAGGTTATTAGCAGCTAGACTTAACTTCATTTAGTACATGGCTTTACTCACTACAGTTTTAGGCACAGAGAAGAATTTATCTGCTATGATGAAGGGCCACAATGAATACCTCGTTCCAAGTCCTCCCTGGGCAGAAACTGCTTTACCTAATGAAGATTGAACTCTCACTTCCCACCAGTTGAGGACAAAGCCCTGCACAAAGGATGAGAGAACATGATCCAGCTAATTCAGCATACAGCAACTTTAGACATTAAATATCTGGGGTATTCTTAAGTAGGGTGACATTACAGAGTTATTGAACTAGACTGAATTTCAATGAAACAGTGTCAGGGTTTTTCCCCCCTCGTTTGCTTAGCAAGGACTCTCAGCTGTAAACAACTCAAAGAGGAGCTGGCAGAAATGATTAGATGTGGAGATTGCTTCGTACGCACTTCACATTCCTAATGAAGAATTTGCTTTACCAGGATTTAAAAGCACAAAGGCCATGAAACATTTAAATTTACTTATCAGGTTATGTTAATAAATTATGATGCATCATCCACATTCCAGCCTGCACTGCAGCACATGCTTGGGTGTACTTTCTGTGCTCCCAGTCTCTCTGATTTAGGACTGCAGACTCAGAGCCCAGCAGAACAAGCCTGTGCTTTACTTGCAGCACACAAGCAGCCTTTTTTTGCTTCAGCAGCACCTCTCACGTTGGATTATGCATGCCCAAGTGCTCTGCCAGCCCAGGAACGGCCACATATTTTAATTACTGATTGCTTATGTATAGCAAGCCTGTCACAATGAGGAACATGATCACTTACCCAGTGAAAACGCTGAAAAGAGTAACTACATAACAGAACCAGCCAGATACCGTAACAGCACAATTAAAAATTTAAGCAGCAAGCAGATAATTACAAAAAAAAAACCCCAACAAAAAAAAAAAAAACCCAAAAAACCCCTTAACTTATGAGGCAGGTTGAGAATGACACAAAGGTTTTTCCTTCACGACAGCTTCATTTACAGGTACAGCTCAGCAAGTTTGAAATACTTTATCACAAGAACTACAAACTTGTTTATCACAGTTATGTCAGAGCTCCTCGCCAAAGGGTGTGTCAGTTTCTGCTGTAGCCACCCCTCCTCTTCTCCAAGGTTTATTGCTCAGCTACTCTGGAGAAGGAGTGCCTTGGTCGAGGCTTCAGAAAGTGCAGAGAGTAAGTCAGTTTTTCCCTTTAGAAAAAAATCCAAAACACTGAGAAATCAAACATGAAGGAATAACAACAAAAAAAAAAAAGGAGTTTGGCATTTGATTTTAAAGTGGCTATTCTTGATGTTTTCAGGTAATACAAAAAGGGAAGGAGTTTCAATGTGGAAGGGCAGCTTTGCCATATTAAAAAAAACCCCAAAAACATAATAACACACAAAATATATTTTGGGACCATCTTTACCAGCTTGTCTATTGAACAAAGGCAAAATACCAGCAACTGGACCATTCAGGAAAGATGTGCAGCTCTCCTGAAACTCCACATAGCCTGCAAGAATTTTGGCTGTAATTTCTATTATGCATTGGCAGGGCAGAATCAAATAAGGCTGTGAACAGAGGATTATTAGGGCTGTCAAACTACAGGAAGACCAAATGACAGTTTTAGAAGTAACAGAACTTATAATTTGTGTGGTACAGCTACTGCTCAAGAAGTAGCAGCTCCTTCCCAGGAACCTCAATGTGAAAGAGAAGACTTTTAACATACAGGTGTTGCTTTTGGTACAAAGTTAACTTGTTCCTATGGCTTCTCTGCTGAGAGATGCTCCCTGGGACAGAGCAGCTGGGGTCACAGATTGTCAGGAGACTCTTTGGCTGTCAGTGCATATCCTTGAGGCTCTCCAGGTGCCTTTCCCTGGACACGCTGGGGCCTGACAGAGGAGCAGGTGGTGGGAGGGGAGGGCAGACTCCAGGTGCAGCAGCAGCAGAGTGAGGCAGTCACCCAGCAAAGCTTGGGCTGCTCTGCCCAGGAGAAGGTCGAGGCAGAAGCCATCCTGGGCACAGTTTTGAGCCAAGGGGAGAGTGAGGGAGCAGAAGACTCCACTACTGGCAGGGAAAGAAGCCAAGCCAGATAACACAGACAACAAAAAGTCACAGAAGGGTGTCACACTGTCAGAAATTTCAGCTGTGACATTATCTCCAGCTCCCATGGACAGACAGACATGTAAGCAGGACAGACAGAGCTCTTTGTTTTGGCTTCAGAAAGAGCAAAAGCAAGATTTGCCGTTCAGTTTGCTATGTACAACAATACTGCACTGTACACTTCATTAACGAGATGCTGCCTGCTACAGTCCAGCATTAATTAAATAGAATTCCCTCTTAGTCACAGAGAGCAACAGATGAGTTTCTCTGTAGGAAGGAGAGCCAAACCCCACTGCTGTCCATGGCCCTACGTGGTGCCAGTCCTGGGATAAACACAAGTGGCCATTCCACAGTGTCTAATACCTTCCTGGCTGGTCTGAAGCAGAGAACTTTCCCTTTTCTCTTCCAATCCACTTGATCCCAGTCCTGTTGGGACTGTTCCAGCACAAAGCCATGCTATGACTTTCCCCCTACTGCCACAGCATTCCCATCCAAGTTAGGCAGTCTCTTTCAGCAGTCCCAATTTCCGGAGTGCCTCTCTCCTGGCTTCTTCAGTGGAGCCACGGCCGGAAAACTTCACCGTTATCCCTTGGGACCGAAAGCCTGAAGGTCTGGGCAGAGAACCCGACCTCCTCCTCATGTCCAGGCTTACACCACCTTGTTTATAATCATTGCAACTTTTTTCTGTGCTCTGCTGTGGGCTGCTGACTTTGTTAGTGGCAAGAGCCACCTCTGGTCTGATTGTTACAGTTTTGCCCATAGGAAGGAAAGGGCTGGGCTCGCTTTTTAAAATCTCATTGATGTTTTGGTATCCATTGGTAACAGCCTCTGACTTCTTGGGCTGCACATCAGGCTGCTGAGTGCTTGGGGCATGGTCCACTTGGTCCTGAGCTGGCTTTCCCTTAACTAGGCCGAGTTTTGTCAGGGCTTCATAGCGAGTTTGCTCAGAGGAGAGATCCCGTAGGGAAGAACTTCTGTTACGTGACAAGAAATCGTTTTTGTGCAGCTTCTCCTCCAGTTCAGCTGCCAGAAGAGCTCCCCCATTGATGTTGGCCAGCACCTGAGCCCGCCGCTCCTGGACGTTCACCGCTGCTTTGGAAATGGTCTCGCTGAATTCCTTGCCACTGACATTTGTTATGTTGATGTTGCTTGGGAACCGGTGCAGTTTGGGGGCGGGGGCAGGAGGGTGCTTGGGTGCTATGGAATAATCACCGTTGGCTACCGGGCCTTTCCTCCTATCGGAATTCCCCTCCTTGAGGGCGCCGGGGAAGCGCGCCCGGCTCTCCCCCTGCTGCTCCGAGATCTTCTGGGCCATGATGAGAGGAGTGGGGACAGAACGGAGCAACTTTGGATGCTGCACTGGAGCAGGGGGTGGAGGAGGAAGAGGAAGGGTCTCAGACACCGTTGGTGCTGGGGCAGGGGGCTGTGGGGGAAGGTCAGCAGGTACAGCTGGCTGAGGGCTCTCGGCTCTCCCAGGGGCATCCAACACTAAAAGGCAAAGCAGCAGAGATGTCATTAACTCTTGACACAGCAGAATGCAAGCAGCATTTCTCCCCTCTCTCTACCTTTCTAACTCAACCTCAGCCCACATAGCCAGAAGAAACCATAAGAAGTCCCAGCAATGGCATCTCTGAGGCAATGCTCCAGCCCAAATCACCACGTTTACAATGTGTCACTATCCCAGCCCTCTCTCTGCCCTTCACTCACAGTCTGCCTGTTGCTTCACTGTGCTTCAATGGCTGCTCTTTCATAAGAGTTTTGCAGGTCTTATTTTTTTATTAAAACAGCCAGGAGAGGACAAATTATGTCCCACTGATAGATTCATTGTCCAAACACAGAGAGAACACACTCTAGGGGTGACAAAAACAACATGCCATATGCTGTCTTGTCACAAACTCACTGATAGGATTGCATACCTTTCAGTGCCACACAGAGTAACACTGAAAACAATCTGCTATCTTAAAACTCCTGGGAAAAATCTTAAAAAGTCTTGGGGAAGAGCAGAGCATGAACAGGTTGGTGAATACAGTCTGCTTTGTTGCAATGACTGTGCACAACAGTGACAACTCAGTCTGCAGGCAGAGGACTGAGACAGCAAACCAACAACTTCACCAGATGCACAACACCCATGAGGGAAAAGGAGAAATTATTTTAAAAAGTTACAGCAACAGCAAGAATTTCAATAACCCCAAGACAAATGAAAATCACAGTCTTTAGAGCTCCTTATGAGTAACAAATTTATCTTGAGGTAGTAAGGGAGGTACAGAATTTCTTAAACACTTTCTACAGAGAACTGGAATAGGTCAGGGCTGGATCAAAGGGAAAACCCACACTCACAAGAAACCCAACTACCTGGTTCTGAATCTCTGCTGGAAGGGCCTTCATGGTCACTGCTCTCAGGTGTTGACTGCACCAAGTCAATGATATCTTCAGTCTCTGAATGACTGGACACATTTTCTTCTGTTGACCTTGGGGACTGACAGTGGATGCCACTGTCACGTAGGGCCATCTCCTCCAAGTCATCTTCTAAGGCATCTATGGTTTCCTCAAAGAACATGAGAACATCCTGTTCTTCATGAGTTAAGTATTTCAAACTTTCATCATCCTATGGGGAAAAAAAAGAAAAAAATCCAAAGATTGACACCTTCCCAAAGAGACATTTAGACATTACAATGCTAGAGGACAAAAAAAAAATTAAAAACCAAACCAGCAGCAACTGGTATTACATCCTTTAGTTTAGCAAAGAAGTCTTCATTTGAGTTGTACAGAGCAAATTACTAAAAGATTATAAAAGCCATAAGAGCTACTAAAAAAAAAGAAAAAGCACCAAAATAAAAAGCCCTACACACACCTGCACACCTGTGCCTTGGCAGGGGTTAGGATGGCTTCTTCTGATTTCCAAACTGGGGCAAACTGTTCTGTATCAAATTCAGGGATGAGGCTTGGGGAACAACATGAGAGGGAAAGGTGCACTCAGGACAGCCCCAGAAATGGGTTGATTCCCTTTTTGCTCAAGTCCAAAGGGTGACTGAACTTCCAGAAGCAATGCTGAGAAGTGTCTCTGGCACTACAAACCATAAATTATCCAGAGGTACATAAGAGATTACAAAGAGATAACAGTAAGGAGGGAGAGGATTTTTAAAGATTTTACCTTTGAGTTACAGAAAGGAAAACCCAAGAACAAATAGGAAGACCTGTTCCCTAGCAGTATAGTATTCCCTAGTATTCCCTAGTAGTGCCTTGGGCTATTTTCTTCAGCAGGAAATAATCCTGTAGACCACAGGAGTGATAAATAATCGTTGGATTATCCAATCTTCATTTTCTCTGAGTCACTGCTATTAATTAACTTGATTACCACATTATCACTATGTGAAGCTGGGCAGCAATGCTCTCTTTTCCCTCCACCCTGGGAAACACTCACTTTTCCAGAAGCTTGGAGATGACAAAGAATGATTAAGAAAGGCACTGCATTAGGACAATGGATACAGGAAAGACATTTCCCAAGAGGCCTGTGTGAGTTCTGGAATGCAAGGATATATTGTTGAAAATCAAGTGAGGTTTTCCCTTTTCTGGATTGAATTTCTCCCCTGCCAAGCATATACTGGAAACTTTGCTGTCAGTAACTCAACAAGAAGTGCCAAGGACACCTCATTGCACGTGCAGACAGGGTAAAAAGGCTACTTCTCAGTGGAGGGCTGGGAGAATTTAGGTAAATACATAAAGGTATGCAGTACAAATATTCAAGAGGTAGCACGTTCTTGCTAGGGCAGCACAACTTGCTTCAAACTCACCGTGCCTGTTCAGATCCTCTTACATTAGATTAGACTAAAAAAACCTGTGTGCAGCTCTACCTGTTAACTCCTTGCACAAACAAAGCTTTTATCCCCATTCTCAGCACTAAAAATAAGAATGACATGGCTCTGTACCAAAATAATGCCTATAGATTAAGAAATATAATGTGCTGCATTGTACCCAGGGGCAGTTGATCTCCAAGCACTCAGAACGTTACAGATGAGAAAATAAATGGTTTGAGGCTTTTAGCCTGTGTGGCCAATAGAACATTTGGTAGGAGGGAAAGATGTACAGAGGTGTGCTTATTTCTAATTTAGTCTTAATATCCACAGTGCACTGTCAGAATAAGTAACTTATTCCAGCTTGCAGCAAAACTGCTAGAAAAGCTAAAATTTGGATGCCATTTGCCAGTGCTGGTTTAAAAGATGAACTTCAAAGGCTGACGTAGTCCACAGCTCACACCCACCACATGTCAGTTTTCAAAGGCCAAGGAAAGTTTTACAGCTGCACTTGAAAAGCAAGAGACAGACAAGCCTTCCTTTTTTGTTTTTTTTTTTAGTTTTTTTGTGTGTGTGGTTTTTTTTTCCTTAATGGATGTTGCAATCTCCTTCCTTCCCCACCCAAATACTCATAGGGCTGCTATGTCTAGTAGGCAAGAGAATGACAGGAAAGGAGCCCTTGTTGGGCAGCCCTGAGCTGGGGCTGAGCAGGACTCCAGGAGCCTTTGTTGAGGGTGAGCTCATTGCAAAAGCCAGACTTACAGGGCAAAGGAAAAGAAGAGGGGGTTGTGTTTAAGAAATTCATAGTGGCAACAGATCCAGAGTGTGGTACAGGAATTACTGTGTGCACCTAAAAAACTGCTCCCACATGAGCTTCATTTGTTTGATCAAGAGCTGAGCAAGGAATAAAGCAAGGAAGCAAAGACTTCCAAAAGCACTTCCTTGCATCCTTTTCTGTGCTGCAAGACTGAACATTTTTCCATGACAGATTAGACTTGCAGGAGAGTTTTGCCTGATTTAACCATCTCTCATGGATCTTGTGGTGTCCCTTTAGGTAAAGGATCTAAATTGAGTAACCATCCCTTTGCAAACACATTTGTAATAAATAGCATACCAAGATGTGAAAGGCCAATTTCATCTCTGTTAGCACTTCAATCTGTTTCCTCATGCAGTCTCCCTTCAAGATGATCAATGTCACATTCCATCAGAAAAAACAAAACAAAACAAACAACAAAACCACAGCCAACAGCTCTGGAGAATAGGCAGTGTTAGGTCAGGGCACTGTACTGAGATGCAAGGCATGAGTCTGGATAGAAACTCCCTCAGGCCAGATACGTTTCAGTTTGCCAGCCAAGGAAACAATCCCATTTCAGACACAAAATCACAGTGGAAAAAAACAAACCTACTCAGGCTGGTCAAACCAAAGGAGCTCAGAGATGTAAAGCAAGCAGTGATTTGCTTTATTCCCACCTGTATTACTTGTATTATAGCAAAGCCTTCAGAAAGATGAGAGGAATTTCTCTAACTTAAAGGTGCCAGTTTTAACTAAGGCTACCAAGTCTATTTGCCATTTTCCATATATTCCAAGTACTGGAACAGTTAATATTCTTTCCAGGCTGGTTTTCCAGGCCTCCTTTTTTCTTAATGAAGCTGTGCTTTTTAATAGATGAAAAGTCTTTTCAGCTTCCTGAGTTATTCACCTCATAGTTTCCATCTACTCCCTACTCTTGATACACAAACACATCTCCCTAAACTAAATCTCACATACACCTCACACTACAAACTTTAAAACTACTGTCAAAAGACAGCCTGAATTTGAAACTTGAATATTGTGCTTCAGCTTTAAATTACATTAAATTAGGAGGATTAAAAAGACTTCTCAGACAGAAGAAATTTGGGATGAAAACAGCTGAAATAGCTGAGTATACTCAGCTGGCATTAATATTTTAGATCTCTCTGCAGCCAAACATTTCCTGCTTACGCCAAACAGGAAAGAGTCTGTTAAAACACTGTTTGGTATAAAAGAGGAAAAATAAAGAAATAAGAGAAAGAAGAATAGAATCTATTTCATAGGAAAGATTAATTGATTCCTTTCCTACCTGTTCAATACAATGACTTAATATCCAGAGGCCCACAATTTTTCATACACATCTGAAGAAATGCTGAACATCACAGCCTGATCTAAAACCCTAAGACCAGCACAGCTTTGACAGAAACAGAACACCACAGGAAATCCCAAGACATCTGCAGTGCTTAAAAAAATCTTCTAAAACCTGCTAAGGAACCACACTTCAATTAGCAAAATACCAGGAGAATGCCAGATTCAACTGATTTATCAATCACTTGACAGCACTGAGGAATTAATAGGCACAATTCCATGAGAAAGAAGTGACTGGGTGCTTCTCAAAAGAGCCATGAAGGGAGCAAACTATTCTAAGGTGTAGCACAAAGGCCATTGCAGCACCTCTTGGGCCACAGTCTGTTAGCAACAAGGCAGTTCTACTTTAGAAGGGGTGAAAAGGAAAGCTCTGCGTGCAGGAACTGTATCAGAACACACATAAAAGCTTTAGCACAGAAGAAGTCAAGTACCTCTGACTAGATTTACAGGAAAGGGAAATGGAATGGGTTGTACAGCTGCAACTGAGGCTGGGAGCATGTGAATTACAGCTAAGAACATGAACTGCTACACAGGATCAGACCAAAAGCCCTTTTAGCTCAGTAGCCTCCAGCAGCTATGAACACACAGGAGTACAGAGGGTGTGGGAGGTGTTGCTGTATATTGGATGGGTGTATTTTTTCCTCCTCCAAATCCTTCCAGTTTCCAGCAACACATGGCTTAAAGATTTCCCAGATGCAGTGGCATCTGTGTGTTTAACAGCCCTTAATGAGCTTTTCTAGCATGAATTTGTCTTATTGTTTGAGCCATGGAAATGACTGGCGTGCACAGCATTCTGTGGCAGGGAGTTCCAGAGTGTAATTGTGTGCTGTGTCAAAAAGTGCTTCCTCTACAACCCACTATCTGATGGTTTTGATAATACCATTTCATTTGGTGAAGAAGACTATAATATTGAGTGTTGTTTTCTTCAGTTTACGAGCATAATTGTACTGTGTGCTTCATAAGAGGCAGCAAAGCATATAATCAATAGGTCCTAAGTGAGGAAACAAATTATCTACAAGTACTTAAAAGATAAATAAGATGAGCTAAAGTCATAAACTGACTAAATTACTCCTAACCTAGTTTTAAAGAAAGCAAGCTGAATATCTACTTAAACTCTGAAGACATCTCTTTGATAAACAAAATTAGGCTGATCAGCCTGTAGAAATTAAAGGGAAAAAGAAATTGTGAGAACAACATTGAGAAAAACAGGGAGACATTTCAGGCAAAAGCCACTAAATAATTTTTATAAAAACATCAAGTAATTTCACACCAAGCTCATTTCTCATGAGAGGGTTCTTGACTTGACCAACAGCTGCAAGCCCAAGATGTCACATACCTTGATTTGAAATCTTTATGACACGGCCCCCAAAAATGAACTCCCAGATGAACAAAAAAATGATGCTGAGATGAAGTTACTGCAAGGTACCTGTGCAATCTGTGATTCTGTCAGTTTAAGTGCCATAAAGAGGGAAAAAAATCTGCTGTTCAGGGATGCAGATCTCATTCTGAGATATATTAACCAGGGTGATGACATGACAGCACATCCTCATTCGGAACACAGAGTTCAGATTCAGTTGCTGAACTTTGGAAAGGATGCAGCCAGGCTGGACAGAGTCCAGAACAAAGCATGGAGTGCTGTGAGTGCAACTGCACAGGAAGGCTCAAATAATGGGGGGGCATGTTACACTCAGAACAGGGGAGAATTAATGGGGGTGGGCAGATGCAGCCCTGTGTCCCTGAGAGTATTTTAATATATAAAAAGTTGACCACCCATATAACTGCAACAAATCTTCTTTACATTCACTGAAGGTGGGACAAGTAGAAGACAACTTTCACATTACAGAAACTTTAATCCAAGTATTCTTTAAAAAGTAGCAGAATATATGAAGAAAACACTCTGGAAGTCTAAGAATGTCTATCAGCAAGGTTTAAAAAGCAGAATTGCCCACCTGGTGGAATAATCTCTATCTACCAGATCCTGCTTTGAAGGACAATGATACAGTTTGTGAACAGAGCCCAAACTGCCTTCAGGATCTGTATTCTCCCTGGCACATTTTACAGCAAGATCATTCCTTGCTAGGAGTCAGGCTCTTATTTTCCCAAGGCACACTGCTTCCAGGTCATACTAACATCAGCCCAAAGTGGATGAAACACAGCATAGCTCTCTCCACACCCTGTAAGGAATGGCTTCCACCTGCCCCAAGGCAGTCGTAGCCATACAAAGCAAACAGTCAAAAATTCCTCTCATTTTTTATGTATTGTTATTTGGCAAAGCCCTTGGACACGGTGAAAGGTGCTGTAGTACAGTAAATCCTGTGCAGTATCAATGTCAAGGGGGAAAAACACAATTTTACAACAGGAGTCTTTGTCAGGACTTTCCCTTGAATGTACCTGAAGTGCAGCTCAGCATCACAAGACTCATTCAAATTGTGAGAAAAAAGGTTGGCAGTGGGCTAAAGACACATGATCTGTCCTTTTCCAGAAGCCCTAAATCCACACTGGATTCCCAGTGGATTCTCTCCAGGAAGGTTGAGGTAAAGAGATACAAACACGGTGCACCAGAATACCAAGTCTGTTGCATCTGGACTATCTGTACTGATCTAAAAAAGGAGAAGGATCATAACAAAGAATTTCTAGGCTACAAGGGACACCATAACTACAAAACAACCAGGTCACCCCTGAGTTAAATGGCTGAGTGTGTGAAACAGAACACTGAGCCAGCTCAGACTGCTCACAGCACAGCTGCTCTTCATGCCTAAGTAACCAATGTTCAGAATGTCACCTGTACTATACAAGGGATCCAGGGGTGACAAACCATCTCCAGTGACTGGCTATGAAGTCTTGTTAGAGCCAGAGAGGAAGCTTGTTTGAGGAAATAACAATCAGAACAAGCAAAATCTCTTCAGAAGTCATGGCCTCTCCCAGTTTAAGCCATTTGATTAGTGATCAAATGAAACAGTCACTTGAACAAATTCTAGAGGCCACCACTGCCCCAAAGAGAGTGGTGGTGAACTCTGGCATTAACCAAGGGCCTGTCTGATCCAAAGGCAAAAAAAATAAAATATAGAACACAGTGTGATCCACCAAGAATAACAAGAACTCACTATTCCTCAAAGCTGTCACTCAGTAAAACATGTTCACATACAGAAGGTGAAGTACTGAAGTTGTAGCAACAGATCTGAGGCATTGACACAGCTTCTTCTTAGTGCAGTTCCAATTAGCACAGCCCACTTCAGGTACAAGCAGCACCTCTGCCATGGTTTTCACAGGTAGCACAATTGTCCTAGCACATTATTCACACTTGGAAACTAAAGCAGTTACTCATGGCTGAGAATAGATACCCAGTCCAATTACCAGAGATAAGCACTGAAAGAAGGATTGGCTTCAAGAAGCTGGTCTGTGCCTATTCAGTCAATGGAACAAGGCAAATTGCTTCCAAAAAACCCCAAGACCTAGTTTTATCTTTGAATTAAGTGTCCTTAAATTGCTGCAACTGTATTTCATGGCAAGTTAATTCTTATACCACATGTCTGGCAGTGTCATTACAGACTGGGTTTTGGAAGCTAGAATTGCCAAGAACAGAGTGGTTTTGTTTGCCCTCACCCTTGCAACTGATTCCATGCACTGAGAGAATACACTTCTCTCAAGCAGATGTATGGATACCTTTTATAACAAAGAAACCAAAATATGTGTGCAAATTAGTCCTCATACAGAACAGTTTTTTATGGCTACTAAAGTTCATGTGAGATGAAGATATCAAGGCATACATTTCTCCCATCTCAACTCAACCTCCTGTGACAGATTTGGCAGAATAAGTCCAGACCTGAACATGTATAATTTCTGTGGAAATACTCGTGAAATCAAGGCAGCATCTTGCTTTCCATTTAAAAAAATTAATTTGGCTTAGAGGCAATTATCAAAGATAACTGGAAGCATCACTATATAGGTAAGAGAAGCTGAGAAACCTGGCAAAATGAAACTGAAGTGACAACAGCTGACTGGGAAGGATCCCACATACAGAATTTTAAGACCTTTTTAGCACATGGCAATTGATGTCCATCTCCAAGTCACTCCTAAACTGACAACCAGCTCCCAGCAAGCAGTGCCAGCACAGACACACAGGATGCAGGACCAGCCAGGAGTCAGCCAAACCAGCTGTGAGCAGTCAGCAAAGGCTAAAGCCAGTCCAAGTATTTGCCCCTATTATCACATCCCTGGGTTTGTTTGAATTCCACAAATACAAAGGTTATATTCAGTAACTAATGCAGTCTGACACTGAGAAGATTCAGAGCCTGTTTTTTTTACAATCAAGTAGGAAGAAACCTGCAGCACTATGGGCCTGTCATAGGAAGCACGGTCACACTTCTCTCCTTTGCAATGCCATTACAAAAATCCAAAATATCAAAGCCAATCCTGACCTTTCTTGCCATGTCTCCAGGTGAACAGACCCAGGAAAGTGATAAATGAAGAGGCAGTTAGGTATTTAGTTGCTTCTGTTTCAGGATCCAGAGAAGGCCTAGTGTGCCTGAAAATACTTCCCCACTATTCTCAGAACTGGCATAACAGAAATTCTTTGTCTACACAAAGTTATCTACCCCTTTCTTCTCATTAGGCCATCAAAGCTTCTGCATCTTCTAAACTTTGATAACAAAACTACTGAAGCAAGATAATGTCTCTAGGAGCATGTTCCAGCAATTAAGCAGAATTTCCTTCATGTTCAGTTTAACACAGACCCCTTCTCAAATTCAGAAACTGAAATTATGCCTGTATTGAGGAGTTCACATTGTCCAGCCTGTTACTCCACACATGCAAGCTGCCAGCCTTATTGGACATGTCACCTACTTACACTGCTGCAAGAAAAATCAGGAAGAGCATCTGTGGCATCCCAATCAAATTTGTTGGTGCACAATTCACTGTCTTCATGCACAAACTCAAGACAAATGAAAGGCTCTGTGAACTGCTAATTCACAGGTCTGATGGGAATTGCCCAAGCCTACAGGTAACTTTTACTCCATCTATAAATTACTGCATTACAGAGTAGGAAGGGATTCCAATTCTAGCTGATGCATCATCATATGGGTTATCACATGGCAGGATCTAGTTGGACTAAGGGAATTTATGTCATTTTCTGACACAGCAGACCTGGAATGAGACTGTACAGACTGATTTATACATGGCACGATTGACTATTACTTGTAAACCTGGAAACTAGAGGTAGAGTAATAAGCAAAATTAACTTGCAATTCTGTGTAAGATTAAGTTGTAATTCTCTAGCAAAGTACTACTTCCACTGTAATTCTCTAAAATTCAACCAGCTTTTATAAAACAAACAACATACACTAACTTCCTGAGTCCAAATGATGTTCTTAACCCCTCCCACCCTGACCCTTCACAACTTTTTTCTAGAACAGATCAGAAACAGTTAAGGAACTAAATTTCATCATACTTGTTTTGTGTTTTAACTAGCAACACAACTGAAGGATACAGTGTCATATTAACAGTAAGTATTTTCAGTAGAAACAACAAAAAAAGGACCTGCATTTGAATTGCCTCCAGGTGCCAGAAAGCTCACAACGTAGCACAAAACCATGAGTGTGTCTGAGGTATACAGATAAATACAGATTTTGCCACTTTTTCACAGAAAACTATCACATTCAAAGGAAATTATCAGCGAGGGCAGAGGAAAGGAGACAGAAAGCCTAATTCCATATTTAAGGCAAGACAGAGATTTAGATTTCCAAGCAAGCGTGTTTACACGTGTGCTCTTTCCTCAATTAAAAATGAATGTTTTTCAAATGGTTGGGATGATAAAAAAATATGGAAGGCACCATACCTGCACTTTCTAGGCTTAGGCTGCCACAGTACGAAGTGTACTGCTGAGTTCACTGCCTGATTCACCCTGCTAATTGGGAAGAATGCAGAAGTGCATCCTACTCCCTCAGTTACTCACTCACAATTGAAATGGCCACACACTCATACTCACTAATGCAAGCACAGCTTTGTTTATGGTGACATATTTGTTACTCATCTAATTAAGGTGGAATGAGCTGAGACCTTTATTCAGGAGTGTCAACAAAGAGATTAAGCAAAGGCAGTGTGTGGAACCAGCACTATCCTTAAGTTTCTTTATGAGCTATTTAAGAAAGCAAGGGCAGAGCAGCCCTCACTGCCATTCCTGGTTCTCTGGGAGGAAGGACTGGAGAGAAGCACTCTCCAAGCTCCCAGAGACAATCAGACCAGAATAACAAGCTGTGATACCAAAGCTGAGAAGTTATTTCTGGCCTTTGAGTTTAAACAACCAAGACAACACCAGCAACCACTTAGGATTAGAAATGGCAGAAATCAATCTTAATAAAACAAAAATCACATGATGTGGGACAGAGCTATTAATGCAATCTCTATCACTAAGCACAAGGCTCATTAAACACTTACCAAGGCAAGATTCCTGCACCTAGCTTGGCTGCCATGGTTCTCCACACTGCCAGCCCTTTCCATGCTCCCATGTGTGTGCTCTGGAGAGATTTCAGATGCCATTTCAGGAGGATCCACCAGGAGATTCCTAGGCATCACACCTTCTTGACCTATTGATCCCGACGCAGCACAGAATGCCATGGGCGTGTTACGTGGGGCTGCTCGCTTTATTCATGTCTGGAAACAAAGAACAACATGGTATGGGGTTAAACCTGCTGGTTAAAACACTTGAAAAGGAATGGAAAATAAATGTCAAAAAAAGATCCCACACAAGTTAGTAAAGGGCATATCTTTAAGTCCTGAAACACATCTACTGCTTTATGGGCATATTTTAAAACACTGGTTTAGTTCAAAAAGATGACTAAAATTCAACATAGAAAGGTTCTGTACTCCATCTCTTGTGCTTCCAAACCAGATGTCTATGGACAGTTGGAAGCAAGGATCCTGCATATATCCTTGTCTTACAAATTCAGTGTGTGTTTTCCATTATGGCACATCATTAACAATAGTAAAATCCCACTGACTGAGATACCAACTGGCACAGCTCGAGTACTTTTATCTTTATTTGGTTTTAAACAAGAATTCTATTTATGGGATCACATGAGGGAGACAGAACCCCATTCTTTTCCTAACACTGCTGCAGGTAACTCGTGCTACTGAAGCAGCTCTATGCCACCTGCTTCTGGTGAAAGATCCAGGAGCAGAACTTGGTGCCATTTTTGCATCAAAGCATTACAAATTGCGTTTTAAAGCTTCAAGAGCTTTTATTTCACTCAGCCATGAAGAAACAGTACTTGTACATTTGGAAGACACTTACTGAAACAGACATATGCACCAGCACTCACTAGAGGAAAAGTCCCCAGTTTTTTAAGCTTTCCCAGTGCCCAGTTCTGTAAAACCTCTGAATTGTTATCATCTCCCAAAACACTCTGGCAGAACTTTTTCTTTGATTCTCAAGGACACAAACACAAAAATCATCTTAGTGCACTAACAGCATGAGCAGGGGGGTAGGCAAAACATAGAACCTGGCTCATTTCTCACTGTGATACATTAAAGCAGCCTTTGCAATAAGAAATTGCCTTGCTTGCTAACAGTCCATCTTTGCACCCAGCCTGCCTGTGACCCGTGGCCAGCAGTGCCACATGCCTCAAAACAGCTGGTTCTGAGGTGCCACCTTAGATGCAGCCAGCTGGGAAATGGACACCATTCCCCTGACACTGCACCAATTAAATGAGATGCTCCTGCTTCCCAAGTGCTTCTCCCTTTATTATGGCTCAAGAGGCGACACGAGAAGCAAAGTCAAGCCTGCATTTCCAATTCAATCGGATTACTTCTCCTTGCTCCCCACAGCTGTGGGCTGAGGGCTGAGAAACCAGAGCCTTCTGGTAAGCTGATTAGTGTTTCATAGCAGTGAGATAACATCTGCCAATAGTGAGCAACAATTCCATCCCGCTGATCCCTCCTCCCAGGAGAGGGCTATGACATTACCAGAGGTGCCTCGCCTGTGCCGCAGCACCAACGTGTCCTGTGGGAAAGCTCCCACACAATGCAGCCAGGCTGGAGTCCAGCAAGTCTTGGAAGCACATCCACAATCCACAGCACTGGGCTGCCACAACAAAAACATCTCATAGCCCTTCCTATGAGCATTAGGTCTAACCATCAAATTTAGCCTTACTTCTACACAAAAAGAACGTTCTTTGTGACAGTGGTCACAGGGGCTCTTGGATGAGGCAAGAGACGAGAATGTTGACTCCATGCTCAGAAGGCTTGATTTATTATTTTATGATATATATATATATATATTACATTATAACTATACTAAAAAGAAATAGAAGGAAAGGTTTAGTCTCTCAGAAGGCTGGCTAAGAATAGAATAGCAAAGAATGATACCAAAGGCAGCTGCTCAGACAGAGTCCAAGCTATCTGGTCTGTGGTTGGCCATTAATTGTAAACATTCAAAATGGCCCCGATCACAGACACACCTGATGCATTCCACAGCAGCACATAACCATTGTTTACATTTTGTCTCTGAGGCCTCAGCTTCTTGGAAGAGAGAAAATCCTAAGAAAAGATTTTCACAAAAAGATGTCTGCGATAGTTTTTTCTTTTTTTTTTTTAATTAAGAACTTTAGCTATCAGTGCTACAATGCATCCTCAGGATAATGGGCTTTAAGTGGTGCCCAGAGAGGTAGAAGCATGCTCATGGTCCTGGTTTTCAAACTCTCAGGACAGGCAGGCACAGGAGCACTGAAGCAGCTGCTGCACCTTTGGCTGCTACAGAAAGCTAAACAGGAAACCAGCAGCAGCTCCATCTACAACAAACCCCGTGGTGCTGAAAAGCCACACACAAACACATCCACACAAGAAAATATACGGAATTTTTGGAAGCCAACATTATCAGTGAAAATCTTGACTCCTCTGAAATCCTACACTTGAACAAACACACACAAACACATATATCATTTTTAGAAGGCGAGACTATCAGAGCATCTTAACACCTCTGAAATTCACAGAAAATTCCCACTGACTTCAGATTCCATCCTATGACTGTCAAGGTGATGTTCAGATGGAAAAGAGAGACCAGCAAGAGGTGACTGCTTCTACTGACATTCAACATATGGCAAATGTTATTCCTCTTCAGCAATTTTAAGTTGCAGCATTGAATTTTTTATCCAGGTGTCCCCAATATAAACTGAATATGCCATGTTTGTTCAGTCCCTCAACTGTGAGATTTCTAGAACTACACTCAAAACTATGAACACCTTATGGACTGTATTATGAGAGGTCACTGCTGCAGATTACAATAGCTAGCAAATTACAATTACAGATGACAATAGATATCACAAATAAAACCCACATTTAAAGACTAACCAGAAGATATTAATTGATGTTACCAAGAAACAAATCAAGAGGCCCAGATTTTGAGGGAGAAGTACTTAAGAGTATTTTTCTGCTTTCTGCAACAGCAATACCTCAGTTTGACCAGGACTAAGTTCATGGTAGGCTATCTGCATTCAGGACAGCGGGAACACCCAGATTCAGCAGCAATAAACATTAAAGCCACGAATTATAAATAACAACAAATACCTCTGCTCCCAGCAAGCTCCCATTACTCATTCTGGAGCTGCAGTTCAGAGGTTTCACAAAGCTCCTGAACAATAACTAAAGGCAGTGAGTGCAACTGGTTCAGAGAGCCGCCCACACAAGAGCCAGTATCAAACATTACAGCACTGGTCCTGCTTTTGTGTTAGAAGCTCTGGCTTCTTTGGGAGTTTTACTCATTTCAGAAAAGCTTGAGAGCTGTGCAATGGTCTGTGAGCCTGCAGAAAAGGTGTGGGGGAAGATTTTTTCCCCTTCTACCTTTTACATCACCTTTACCACATCAAAGGGACATGTCAATAAAATCATAACCACTCATATGCATTATTTCTTCTCCCCTTTGCTGTGTTCTTCATGCTTTGAGAAACTCCTACACCTTTGTAAAGTGTCTAGAGCAGCTAGAGCTGACATGAGGCTGCCCAGCACTGCTGCAATACACACAGCATGTTTTACAGACAAATTCCTCTCCTAACCATGCTTAACACTAAAGTCCCTTCACCCTCTGTATGTCATCTCTATTAAGGGAAAGACTTTATAAGTTTAAGACAGAAATAGTCAAGGATCTAGTGAATTTCCAGACCCACTGTTTCAGTAGGATTGCCAAGGTAACAAGCAGGGCTCAAAATTAAGGTAGGCTTGCTCAGAGAGAAGGAACAGCAGGACCACAGGCAGCTGTTCCTCCTGACCTTCAGAGATGCATTAAATATGAAAGTTGCTCACAATGGGATTTGTTGTTCAGTCATTGCAGCTGAGTATTTTTTAGCTTGGCTTAAGATATGTGTGCCTGTACCATTAGGGATTAATAATAAAAAATTACCAGATCGTGACACAGGAGCACAGAAGTGTGACAGAACTATGCTATTTGGAGAGAGGATCCCAGACAATAAACCAGAAATGCATCTTAGGGCAGATGTGATTCCATCATCTGAAGTGATCACTTCTTGGTTACACTGGAGATAGCTTTCATGAGCTCTTTAAAACAATACAAGTTACATATCATGTACATTTTTCAGAGAGTAGAAGGAAGAAATTGAAAGATTCTGAAGTTAGCACTGAATTTCACCTCCAAAGATTTAATTTTGCTTTGACAGAGGCAAATAATTCAGAGAGAATGTATTAAGTTGCCATCAAAGATAAGGTGTGGTCTGTCCTTTCAAAGAGGATATTTTTACAGTTTTGCTGACTAAGGTTACTTCTTCACTGAAGCTCAATGTTAGCATTTACAAGGGACTGTTTCTATAGTAGCAGGAGATTGAAAGAATTTTTTATTAACAATCCTGTTTGAAGACTAGCTTAATAGGCAAAAAGATCAATCCCACAAAAGTGCAAGACATTTAAATGCTAAAAATCAACTGCTACGTAAGCCAGGAGCCAAAAGTCAGCAGACAGCAGCAGGCCATTAACTGCACAATATACTTAAGGTGAGTTGACAATTTTTAGAAAATCATCATGCATTTTTAAAAGGGCACAAGATCAGTCTGTCCCTTTCACTATACATACAATTTCTAGAACACTCTCTGCACGAAACATTTCTGGAGATAGATTTCTAAGCCTTGTTGCACCCTGAGCATCACACAGACTTTGCCTTTGTTGTTAACCAACTCTTTCTCAGTGATTCAACCAAAACAGAAGAAGTGGCCAGTGAACTTCAAGGCTGGTTTCATCTGTCAGCTGTACACAGACACAGCAATGCACACACTGGCAGTCACCCTGCACTCCATGGTGGCGGTTGAGTTTGGAGAGTTAAGCATCTGGGAAAAAACATCTGCAAACACTCTGTGGTCATCAGAAGTGTTACCATGGGATGGGTTTTATAAAAATGATGGTACAGGAGCAGACTGGAGACCTTCATCAGCCTCTGACAGTTGGCAGCAGAGCAGTAAAACAAGGCAAAGGGGAGCAGGAATTCATTCAGATTCCTGCGTGCTGTGGTCAGGAGACCACAGGGCTTCCCAAAACAGGTCAGGTATTTGTGTCTAATAACCTCATGAATTTTGCCTTGTCTTAAGTGCTCCTGCAACATACCTGTGAACCAGCTGCACCAGACCAGAGCTGAACAAAACCAGCTGGCCCATGACATGTCTTCACTGAGCCACTGCTGTTCCAAACTAACTGATGGTTAGTTATGGTGGGCACATTTCCTCCTTCTGAACAGGGCCATCAGCAACTGAATTCTTCTCACCTCCTTCAGGATGTGAAATACTGAGTAAATCCTTGAGCTTTAGGGGTAACCCCACTCTTGTGACATACAGTAAGAGTGAAGCTTTCTGGTAAAAGAATAGACTAAGGAACAGTACTGCCTACAGAGGGGAAACCTCACAGGCAAGTTGACTGATTCCAGGAGCACACAGGATAAACTGATGAGGTTTTGCTGAACACATAAAATCCCATAGAATCAGACAATAAATTTATAAGCTGCTCTTACAGAAAGAAAAAAACCAAAACTGAAGTAACAACAAACAACAGCTGATGTTTAGGAACCAAGGTAAACCAAAACTGGCCAACATGGTTAAATTCTGACTTTCTTCTCCATATCATAAATGTAAAAGCTTGTGATAACACTGAGTATGAGTCACAGCCTTGATCTGCTCATGAAAAATCCCATGTGTTCAAAACAGTCATGGCTATTTAACATCCACTAACCTGGAAACATTCCTGCCCTTGTTTCGAGGGGGACTGTCACCACAGTATGGCCAAATAGAAATGCTGACCATTCATGGAAAAAGAACAACAACAACAAAAATACACAGACAGAGAATCCATGATAGCAATGATAGTAATATCAACTAAATGAGAGCCAGGCCAACAGCATTTTTATAGACACTTGCTTGGACATCAATATTGATTTGCAGAACAGGTGACAAGTAGGACTGAACAATATTTAGCCAAGTGTGAACTCAGGGGACTCTCATGGCAGCCCATGACAGATATGCAGCTTCATCAAAGTAATTACAGAGTGACAACAACCATGCAAGTCTCCCAGAATCCAATGTATGTAACCCCAATATTTTGTTTTAAACTTTCTGGTTTCTGTGGCGCACTTGTGACAATTCAAACTTTCCTTTACAGGCTAGGGAGCTACAAAATCCGTTAGTTTTGGAGCTAAAAACAAAGATTCTCTCAGTCCTCTAAAACTGGAAGTTGGAGCCTCAAGAAACACACTGAATGTCATTCATACAACTCGCACCAGAATTTGTGAGAGCTGCCAACAGTGAAATAACTAATCCTGTGTACATACATTTTTGAAAGAACTAGAGGGGCAAGGCACCAATTCAGTAAAACTTAAATCTGTCTGACTTCACTAGGACATTCCATCACACGCTGAAATGGTTCAGCGAATTGGATCTCAAATTAAATGTAGCAACCACTTAAAAAAGAAAGGAAACAATCACAAACCAACATTTTCATCACCCAAGTAGTAATTCAATTACTACACTGAATTCTCCAAATCATGCTTTGCTTGGAAACAATGCCTAAGGTCACACCTCTGACCACATTAATCCAAGCCTGATGATACCAGAAAACGTGGAATCCATACTGTGCTTCATTCTTAACTGGTCTTTCTAGATTTTCAAGAGCATCCTTTTTACTGTTTTGAGACCCTGCAGTTCAGAGACTTTGTTACATGAAACCAAGCCAGCACAAGAGCACAGCTCACCACTACCTCATACTGCTCTCTGCAGTGTTTGGGAAATGCTCCTTCTTTCAAGGCACTGGAATACCAGGGCAGGATTTGATGATGCTCAGCACATTGGCCCACCCTCAAGACAGGAAAAGAAGTGCCCACACATCTTTGCTTTTTCCCTTGCAAATAAACTCTGTTCCCAGGTCACTACATCAGCAACAGCATCAGCTGAGTCTTGTTGCCTGAAATGAAGGCCAGTGGCAAAGGCTCCTACACAACATTGTGGATTAAACCACCAAAGATCCCTGAAGTGCTCACATTTCCCGCTCATTTAGAGGGAGAGCACTGCTTCCTGCCCCAACTAAAAATAAAGCTACAGCCAGTGACAAGCAGTTACTTTTCTGTAGATTAAGGTCTTACCTAAGGGCAGTGATAAGGCTCTCACTGGGACTCTCCAGGTGAGATTTGATGACAAGCAGCTGCTCAGTGGGAGCACTTCATGTGATACCCAGAGCTGCCTCTCCAGCCCTACATGGGGCTTTAAACACATCCAGGTGATGGCTGAGCTCTCCTCTGACTTCAATTTGCCTTATGCAAATGTCAACAAGGAAAGAGTCCCATTCTTTATAAGTTACTCTTTTTAAATCTGCCCTGTTAACATCAGGGTGGTGCTATCTGTGACAGCCAACACTTTAGAACCATGAAGTGTACATAAACAATTTCAGGCACAGACGCCTCTGTAATTAGTCAACTTCTGTCTTGTTACAGGTGCAGCATTGCTGGGGTTTAGGGTTTCATTATGTAACTGCTGCTACAGTCATAGCAATGGTGAGCCAAATCCTGTTTTACACAGTATTTAGGATAGCAAGACAATTTTCAGCCCCAGTTCAGCTGTGTCACAGTCTCACAACTAGAGTTTAGGCTGCTCTCCTATGTTTCTTTTTGTGACTGCCGTGCTGGTGTGGGGAAAAAAGCAGAGGACGTCTGAAGCACAAAGCATGGGTGTTTACTTTAAAAATTAACTAATTTTGGACATTTCATTCCTATGTAAGTACATAAAGGTCTGCCTGCCCAAGGTAAACAAAGCTGAAAACAGCACTGGCAAAAAAGGAGCAGCAGAGTCTTGGCCCTGGACTTTACTTGGTACAGGGATCATTTATACACACCCAATTGAAAAGAATACATTTAAGCAGTTAGTTATACTGGAAATTAAAATCACTTGCTTTTATTTTTTAATTAAAAAAAAAACAAGGAGGAGGGAGGATTTGGTAACAGTAACAGCCTGTCTGGCTGGCTTTGAAAGCCACATTCATATGCTCATTTATTTTCATGCTCCAGTATTTCAGAAGGTCAGTCAGCCTGAGACTTGTCAAGTGCTCAGGAGTTAAGTTGTTCCAGTTACTATATCCAACCAGCAATCCGTCTGCCAACATTCTTGGTTAATATTTCTCTCAGAGGCATACAGAGAAAAAGCAGCTATAACTAACAGGATGAGAGGACTTTTACTACTGACAAAACAGAGATGCAATATAGAAATCCCCCTGCTCCTTTCTAATGCCAGGTATTACTTGCACTTCTAGTCAATAAAACTTCATTCTACTCATTCAGTCCCTATAGTAAAACCCCCAAACAAATCCTTGATAAGAAGGACACTGCTGGGAAAATCTATTCCATTTCTGAGAAATAAGTAATATCTTCATTTCTTAGAGACCCAAGTAAGCAACATTTTCCCTCCCTTTTATTGTTTAAACATTAGCTTCCCCCTTATACAACAGTAATTCCTGCAAAGGAAGGAGAAAAGCCAAATAATAATTTTTTAAAGTAGTGCCTGTACAAGGAAGGCCATCTACAACGCTGCATGAGTCAAGGATCTGTATCAAAGTCTTAAAATAATACCTTTTTATTAGCATAAGCCAGAAATTGAAAAAGCTTTTAAAGCTAAGACTTCGGCTTTAGGGTTTAGAAAGAAGTCTTTTATAAAAAGGGAGGGGAAAGGAAGTAATTGTTACATTTCTGGTACTTGCTACAGCTTAAAATCCTTGGAAAATGTTTAGAGAAATTCGGAAGAGGCTGTCTTAACTCCTTCCTATTTCACCTGCATGCTTGGTACCACAGGATCGTCTCTTGCTACACCCATGCACAGGACCAAGCACAAGAGAGCTCCACTTGCAGCAACCTCCTCTCGCTGCCACACTAAAACAAAAACTATTCAGGAAACATGCCCTTGAGATCCTGGATTACTGGAAATCCCAAGAGTGTTTTTAAGGCTGTGCTTTCTTTTTACACGCACTAAACCTCACCCGAACCACCTCAGATTAAGATCTTAAGAAGCACCAGCCTTCTCATGCTTACCACCTCGAGACGGAAAAGGCACCTGACAGGAGGAAGGGGAAAAAAGTGCCCTGAACTAGAATCTGCCAGTGTTTGCACAAACAGCTTTTCCAATGGAAACCCTAAATTGCAGACACTCGGAAAGCAAACAGGAGGCACAAGGCAGCTGTTCCTCATCACCCTTTAGTCAGGCAGGAACAGCACACATCAAAGGTATGAAACCTTTCCTTAACCGTATTTTCTTAAAGTTGCCGATAAGCAGAAGGAAATTTTACGTCATGCTAGGGAAGAACAAGAAACCCAGAGGGATGAAAAAATTCTTAACAGCTCAGTAGTGGGAAGCCAAGCCTCACACACGGCAGGGCAGCAGTTTGCTGATAGTTTTTCTCCTCTCCGCCCGTGTACCAAAACTAACCCAAGCCCAAAGCTGCTCTGCGGGGCTGTGCCGGTCCCTGTCCCCGGTCCCTGTCCCCGGTCCCGCCCGCCGCGCAGAGCCCGCGCAGCGCACGGAGCACCCGGCCGCCGCTGCTCTTGGAACAGGAGGGAAGAATAATTAAAAATCCATTAGTGAGTAATAAGAGCAACGCCGAACCATTGCCGTGGCGGGCTGGCAGGGGCGAGCAGCTCCGCCGCCTCTCCCCGCAGCGAGACCGAGCGGGGGGCAGGCAGACCGGAGCGGGGCGAGCTCACCCCCTCACGCCAGCGACCCGAGAGCCGGCGGGGACGAGCCCGGGGGAGCGAAGACCCCTCAGCCAGGCGGCCGCGCAGGGCCAGGGGAGCCCCCCGAGCAGGGGCGGCACTCACCGGCTCTGGGGTCCGCGCCTCTCCCTGCCCAGGGCGGAACGAGCCCCGGCGGAGGACGGGCAGGTGGTCGGAGCAGCGCCGCGGGCTCCGCCGAGCTGCCGCCCCGAACTCATGCGCACTGCGCCGGCCGCCACCCACGGCGGGCGGATAAAGCGGCCGGGCGGTGGCCCAGCCTGGCCCGGCTCCGCCTCGCCCGGGCGGGACCGCCGCCTTTGTCCCGGCGCTCGGGGCAGGCCGTGAGGGAGGGAGTCTGCCCTGCCGAAAGGCGGCCGCGGTGCGGTCGGGGCTGAGGGGCTGCGCTGTCCCTGGAGCGGAGCCCGGTGTGTTGGAGCTACGAAGTTCATTAAGGGTCTGGAGAATCTCACTTGTGAGGAAAGAGGGAGATGGGCTTGGTCAGCCTCGGGAAGAGGTGATTCAGATGGGACCTCATCAATGTCTATCAGTATCTAAAGGGAGGCTGTCAGATCAGGCTATGCTCGGTAGTGTCCAGTAGGACAAGAGCGCAAAGGGCAGAAACTGATTCCCAGGAACTTCCACCCGAACATGAGGAAGAATTTCTGTCCTGTGCGGTGGCCGAGCACTGGAACAGGGTGCCCAGAGAGGGCGCGGAGTCTTCCTCACTGGAGATGTTCAGAACTGTCTGGACAAAATCCTGTGCTTCGTCCCTTCTGACCTGACCAGTTCTGTGGTTCTGTGTCCCTCCACTGTGTGTGGGGGTCATGGGTCTCCACAGCCACCCTGTGAGGGCAGAGAGCCATGGTGGGCACACTGGGAGAGGGGACAGTGACACTTGGGCTGCCTCAGAGAGCCCTGAGGTGAAACCTGCCCTGATCATGCCCAGGGAAGTTGTGGATGGCCCATCCCGGGAAGTGTTCAAGGACAGGCTGGATGGGGCTCTGAGCAACCTGGTCTAGTTGAAGGTGTCCCTGCCTGTTGCAGGGAAATTGGAACTGGATGACCTTCAAGGTTTCCTTCCAACCCATTCTATGATTCTGTGAGGCATACATTGTGTTGGATCTGGTCTATGAGGGGCTTGTCCTTCCACTAAACTACTGGGAAATGGTGAAGGTAAAAGAGAAAATTACTGTCACAACTCCCTGAGTCTGCCTTCTCAGTGGGAAAAGGTTTACATGCCTTGTTAATCTGTGCCACCCATATACTTAAGAGCTCAATAACAAATATAACCTATTTGTATTCTTATTTATTACTAATATATTGTCACAGTCACAGGTATTTATCAGGTGATTGTGTCCTCTCCCTTTTTCATTGTGCAAGGCTACGGCAGCCAGCAAATTACCAGTTTGACTTATATTACACTGTAAAAATTTCAAGCTGCTTTCAGAAATCATTATTTTTTACCCATGCTGTGGTGGCTGGAATATTCCTAACACAAGAAGTACCTCAAAGTGTGGAAGATGGAAAGGTTTCAAAAAGATGTGGCCCTACCCAAACAAATGGAGTTACAGAACAGGGAAGGAGGAGCTGTACAATGTGGGTCAGTGAGGGCTGACAAGGTAAGACCATTCCCAGTTGGTAACTTATTTTTTCAAGTGTTCTCCAGGGAGTTCTTCAAGTGTTCTCCCCAGGAGAAGTGTCCAGGAGGAAAGCAAATGATTAAGACTCTAGTGATGTAATTTTTGGTGATGTTAAAGCTGGTGCCTAATCTAAGCTTTTTGGTCATTCTACAGCCAAGAGAGATGGACTTTCCACCAGTTGAAGAGAGGCTGGACAAATCACATTGTGAGGAAAGCTGTGTCTAGTGGTTGTAGTGGTGAAGCCTGACCAGAGTCCTGTGTGTCTCTCTTGACTGGAGGCCCAGTTTAGAGCTTGCTGATGTTAGGTTAATGAATCCCATCTTTCTCTTTTATTCTTGGCTCTGGCAACAGCTTGGTGCAGGATCATATGCCTGTCCTGTGTAACAACTGTTACACAACAGCACAGGAGAGGAAAGCTCCTTATTTCATCAAGGAGCAAAGTGGGAGTGGTGTCTATTGCATACAGCATGGACTCCCCAGCTAAGGAGAGCATCTCTGCTCTGGGAACATTTAATTCAAGAATATACTTAAAGGCAAGCATGTACTTTACAGATTTCCAGTGTGGGAACATCAATACACAGAGGGAGAGTGCTTTGAGAATGTTAGATAACTTCAATGTATTATTTTTGCAATGTATTATATGCTAATTCAACCTGCCTGAGCTAAAGTTCTCCTTACTAAGTAGGACATTACTCTGAGGAAGATTTTACAGTTACAGGGCTTTATCAGCTCCACATTGCTATTTTCTTTATTTCTTGTTTTACTCTCATCACCCTGTAATATCAGGTGTAGTCTCACATTAAAAATGTGCCCTGTCAACATTTTTCTACCCCAGGTGAGTCCAAAAGAGTTTTTTTGTTCTTTTGATCATCATTTGTATGTTTTTTTCTCTCTTTCCTCATTCTTCAGCATTACTGATTACTAGTCCTGGCACTGAGTTTATTCTAGGAGACCAGCTGTGTGTTGACACATTCTGTCCTGAAGGTGGGGAAATTTATGGAGCACAGTTCCAAGTACACAGCCCATTACTGTGTATTATAGAGAACTTCCCTCCTCTGCTCGGTGAAAACTCGTTATACCAGTTCAAAAATATGTCAGGTATGCATCTCCTTCTTCCAGCATTAATCATTAATTAACATGTGATACTGACATTTCTGGTTGCTACTTAATGTAGCAAAACAATATTTTATGTGCGTTTCTAATTTCTTCTATCATCCTGCAGCCTCACTGGAGGGTGACACATGCAGCTGTCAGTGTCACTACGCTGGTAATGCTGCCCAAAACAGAGCCACAAGAACAAGCCCATGCTCATAAAACTCCTCTTGCCAATCTGACTCCTTTGCCTCGTCTCACAGGCCAAAATTTGTGTTTCTTCTCACAGAATGTGCTCATTGTATTTGCTACTGCAAATAAGTGAGAGCAGACACACTGAACTAAGCAACTGTGATCAAAGAGGATCTTATTCACCTGGTTTGGACTTTTTTCACAAACAGTTTTCATTTTGGGTCTGTCTTTTCTTTTTCTCTGTATGTGTCCTGGATTTGATAAGAATTGGTAGAATGGAGCAGTCAGAAAGAAAACATAGACTGATGGGAAGCTATCTGGTTTTTACTTGAATTTCAGTAGGCTTAGAAAGCCCCATGGTTAAAGTTCAGAGCCTCTTGTGTGAGGCAGTGTATGTAAAGTAAAAGAACAGGCAACAGATAGACAAAATAGGGAAATAAATATGGACAGAGATATGAGATAACCATGAAAGAAACAGAGTTTAGCCAAAGTGAAGGTCAGGTTACATTTACAGTCATTATGGTTGACTTAGTGTTGTGATAAACATGGTATTATCATGACTTGTTATTTGCATAAGAGTGGCCATAGGAAACCTCCAGACAAGAGCATGGTTTGTTGTACAAAGTCCTGTACCAACAGCAGGTCACTATTATTGTTTACAATCAGTAATCCCACATGAAATGTGCTCCAGGACTGATTCATACAACTTTTCCCCTTGACTGACTGCTTCTTTTTTTTGGCTTGGCACTTACAGCCAGAGCCAAAGGAAAGCTTCAGTGTCCCAGCAGTGCTTGCTTTGCAGTACCCAGCTGGCAGAATGCATTTCCAAGCAATGAGATAAACTTACAGTAACCAAAACTTGGGGCTTTGCCTGTGACTCAGTAGCAGTCAAATATCCCAGCCCCCATGTCACTGCTGCCTCCCTCTTGCCAACCCTGTGGCTTTTGTTTTGTGGTCAGGCAGGTTCTTGTAGTGAAACAGCTTAAACCAAACAAGACAGGATTGAAAGCTCCCTCCCCAAGTTTGCTGATGACACTAAACTGGGTAGTGAGATGGAGATGTGAGAAGTGAGAGCAGTCTAGCAGAGACACCTGGAAGGGCTGGAAGAGTGGACTAGCAAGAACTGTATGAGGTTTGTTTAACAAGACAGGAGGCAAGGTCCTGCAGCTGGGACAACATAACCCAAGAACCCATTAGAGGCCAGGCCACACCTGGAGTACTGTGTTTGGTCTTGGTCTATGCAATTCAAGACACAGTCAGATTGGAGAGGGTCCAAAGAAGAGCCACCAAGATGATCAAAAGGCTGGAGAGCCTGCCCTATGAAGAAAGACTGAACCAGTCAGGTCTTTTCTGCCTGGAGAAGTCTTTGGGGAGACCTTGTCAGAGTATTCCAGCACTTAAAGGGTGACTACAGAGAGATTGGAGGCTCTCTCTTTTTAAGGAGCCACGTGGAGAAGACAAGTGGCAATAAGTACAAATCGCTCAAGGAGAGGTTTCATCTTTATATGAAAAATATTTTTTATAGTGAGAACAGTCACTGGAACAAAGTCCCCAAGGAACCAGGTAGAGCTGGAGGTTTTCAAGATGTGAGTGGACAGGGTGCTGCATAATCTCATCAAGGCTCCCTTCTCCATGAAAGACTGGGCTTGATGATGTTTTGAGGTCATTTCCAGCCTGGGCTGTTCTATGATTCAGTGATTATTTTTGGGAAGTGCTTGTATCTTTTTTTTTTGCACCCAGATGTTTTTGCATTTGTTTGGACTGACTGCTGTGGGACAAAAACTTTAGGATGAGAGAGACAGATCTGAAACCAGATCCACTGCTGTAGGGACAGGAATATCTTTGAGCTGCACAGAGCAACTTCCATCCCTCCCCTAGATGATCAGGGTACATGTGTGGAGAGTGAGAGATGAGATTGAACAGTCTGGTGGTTCAGAAGAAACAGAGTCTTCCAGATGGGCATTTCCTAGACAAGTACTTGAGATACCATCACTTGCTGTGAAAAACAGTCAAGATAGGATCTATGGAGATCAGATACAGTCAGGATTTATTTGGTACTCTTTAGGAACGCCTTTAAGTTTAGCCCTGTTTGTGATTAAGCCAGAAGAATATCTAATTTCCAGGTTATGTTATAAGTTAATTGAGAAATGGCCCTGAGGCAGCTATGGTTCTTTGCCTGTACAGAAGCAGAGCTGGAGGCATTGTGAGCTGTATTTATTAACATCTCTTCAGCCAAACTTCACAGTCTTCCTTCTGCCCTCTGGATATGCAGATTCCCTGC